ACACTTGTAAAGTCAGGATAACAATCCTGAACCAAGTTCTCAAAATTGTTAGAAATTTGATAAATTATGTGTCAAGTGTCCAGCTTTAGGTAGACAGGTGACAAATAGAGCCTAATATTAAAACTGCATTAATCCACAATGCCACCTATGAAAGTCCCCACAAACAAAGAAAAACTGTGCTAGGGACAGAAGTCAAGACTTATTCACAGTTAAAACAGCTAGCAGGGGACGAGGCCAGCATAGCCCCCAGCATCTGGTCAAACCTCATGACAAGACCAGCATAAGTCCATGACGTGTGAACACATTTGTAAACCATCAGGCTCTGCACAGACCCTCCTTTCCAGTCCCCTCAACCTCTTGAGCCCAAGAATACCCAGCAGCCAGCTGACCCTGCACCCAAGCCTCCAACATCAGAGCAAGTCATGTCAAAGCATATTAAAGGATATCCCAGATCTCCAGGAGGGGCGGCTCTGCCTTTGGGCTATGGCCAAGTTACCCTAAGTGCATTACTGCCATATCCCTTCTCTCCCAGAATCCCTCCCTCAGAGCAATAAGGTGCACTGACACCCAGACCCCAAAAGAGCAGCAGCCCTCCTGCCTCAGGCCCATGCACCTCCTCTGTCCACACTCTGCTAACAACACACAAGCTGCCTCGGAGCTACGTTCCCCAGGTACAGGGATGCAGAGTCACCTGGCTGCCTGGGTCTGTCTCTCCAACTGTAAAGGCACAGAAGCCCTTCTGCCAGCCATGGTGAGGGAGCAAACCCCATTACACTCAAGCTTAAAAGGCAGCTGAAGTCATTAGCAGAAGATTTACTCCTATTAAGCTATGCTATTCTTAGTCTATGCTTTGTGTCAAAGGAAATTTTCTTCTCTGTTCCTAGACAACACCAAGTTAGCAGAAGAGCTCTGGAGAAACTTGTGCCTTTGAGGTCTCTTGGAAATAGATGAGAAAAAATTATAGTCAGTGAAGAAAGTGAGGCTACTCACCCACCCCTGTGCCCCCTAAGTAACACCTACACAGGACTGGTCAGGGTTTCCCTCAGAGAACACTGATTTTGAGCAACAGAAAAGGGTCTGGTCTCCTGGGTGGTCTTAGTTCCATGCCCCTGCTCTTGCCTCAGGGCACCCACAGCGTTGCTCCGTGGCTGCCATTGCCGCCAACCCTGCCTCACTTGCTGCACCTGTTTGGGGAAGGTCTGTCATCTGGACACATGGTAGGAAGTCACTCCGGCGACACAGGGTGAACTGAACCAGAGAGCAGAGGCAAGACCAGGGAACAGAGGATAAACCAGATGAGTAACTGGCACCAGGATCCTTACTGAGGCCACCTGTGCCAAGTACCCCTGAGTGCCCAAGGCCACAAGGCCCTGGAGGAGGAGCAGATTTGTGATACTCCATGGATGCACTCCTGAGAAGCACACAGAGAAGAGAAACAGAGGGGACGAGGCTAGGACAAAGTGGGTATCACTCAGGAGGAGAAAGAAGTTGGTTTTCCACACAGAGGGGCCTCAAGTGGGCAGGCAAGGGCCTGAGGAGACAAGGGTGGCAAGCTGGCACCCAGGAAGCAAAGGCAGGGCCTCCTGGGGACAAATCCTGGATGACTCACCAAAGGACCTTGGGTGTTTAACCTCTGTGAGCTCCATTTTTCTTGTCCCTACCCAAAGGAGACTTTTGGCAACTTCCTTCTTGAGGGCTTGTTGTGCAGATTAAATGACCCAGGGCATGTGACTGGGGATGGGCCCAAGGTGACCCCGTGAAGGGAGCAGGGCCAGGCCACCCCAGAGGGTGCTGAAGGGTCTCCTAAGTCAGTTCGGGAGCCTCCAGAGGATATAATGGGGGCATAGCATGATATGTCTCCATGGTCCTGGAGCCAAGGTACAGGCAGTCCTCCTGCCTCCTCCAGAGGAGGGACCCTCCCATGGTGGAGAGGAAGACTGGCAAACAAAAGAGATGATAAACTAAGCTGAGTACTAGTGGGAGGCAAATGGGTCCACAGACCCCCACAGACCCTGCCCTTTCTGTGCTGCACCTCAAAGCCACAGAGGCAGGAACCAGGCCTGGAATGAAATCACCTGGGACTTCATCCTGCAGACTCCAAGCCCAGGTAGGATTGGTTGGAGCAATCTTTCCTCAGTTGCAGTTGGAACCGGTAGAGAGATTCAGTCTGAGGCCCCACTCTCCTGTGATATGGGTCCAGCACCCAGCCAGGGGCTGAGCAGGCTTAGATCCAGCCCACGCCCTGTTCACCAGGCCTCAGAAGCGGCAGATTTTTTAACTCTCACGATAATACTGTTTGATGGAGGCATCAAACCATGCCTCCAGCAGGCAGGGTCTAGCTGGGCCCTTTTTCTGACTCACACAAAAACACTCAATGGCCCAGAGGAAGCCTGGTTTGCAAAGAGGAAGAACTGCATACTAGTTTCTTAAAAAACTATGTAGTTATGTACATACCTGCATCATTTTGACCCCAAACAAAAGATTATCTTCTGACAATGTGGAGACTGTCACAAAATATTCAATTAAATAATCTGTGGTTACCTCATGCCCAAAAAGCATCCAGAGATGAACAGATGGCTGGGTGGCCTAGGGCAGTCTCACCTGACAGGCGTTCTGTGATATCCAGGACTGAGCGGCCACTCAGGAAGCGCACCCTCCCGGCAAACGCTGGTAAGAGGCAAAGGTGGTCTGAAAAAGATGGAGAGCTCAGTGGCCATGATGCCGCAGGCTGAGATAGCACCAGGCATTCACAGTGCCAGGAGCCCACAAGCCAGCAAGGGGGAAAGGCCTTTTGGGAAGCCCAATGAATGTTTCCAGGTCACAGTAGAGCCACTTAAAAAGTAAATGCATGCTGGGTGCTTGGGGAAGAGGAATACCCTGGAAGAGTTATGCAGACTCCCAAATGTCTGCATTTACTCCCACGGAGCTAGTTCATATTGTTCATGATTCTCAAAATTGCTGTGACTTTTGGGGCAAAAGAGGATAGATGGACTATTGATAAACAGATGATGCATACATGGATAGAAGGATAAATAAATATAGAGTTATAGGAGAAACTGAGGCACTGAGCCATGATCACACAAAGGTCAGTAAAGGGTTGGGGTTAGAATTTAGAAGTCATGGCTCTCCTCGAAACTTGAACTTGTGGTCCAATCAATAGGGCATACCCACCCCAGATGCTCATTTATTTCCACACCGAACACTTGCTGAAATCCTTTATGTAATAAGCACAGAGCTAGGAACGAAGCAAAATGCGGTCCACCCTGACCCCCTCAGGAGGCTCCTCTGACAAGGAGAGACCTTACCTTGAACCTGACCCAGCTTAGAAGGCTCTGTGCTCATGTAACCACAGTCTGGGGTCTGGAGCCAGGGTGACCAGCTGGATTTGGTCTGCCCAGCATTCTCCCTGCTCTAGCAGTGACAGTATGGATCCAAGGACCCAGGATGACTGGTCACCCTATCAGGAGCAGATTGACCTAGCCAGCTCTGGTGAGGCCACAGGAGGTGGTTTACAGATTGAGGAAACATGAATTCATATCTAATCTCACTGTTTTCCTCCTAGCTTTTTAAACCCAGGTAGCCTGAGGCCCAGGCCCTACAAGAACATACATTCCAACAACAAAGTGAGTGTAACTCAGGTGGAGAAAGAAGTTTACCTTCCATATGTCCTAATCCATCTTTCAGGAGGTTTGGGGAAAAGAGGGATTTCGAACCTCTTTTCTTTAATTGTCCAGCCGCCACACCCAGCCCAGGGGCACAGCTCACCCAACTACCCAGCAGCCACACCCAGGGGTGAAGTACCAGCACTGAGCACCTCCCTGCTTGTATCTTGAAAGACACTAAAATCGTGCAAGTGTTTATGGCAGAGATGAACCACTAATTGTGAAATCACATACAAACAGGGTGGGGTGTCTCTGGGACACAAAGGCTCTTGGCCTCTTGGATTGTATTTCTAAAGCCAGCTGCGGCAGGAGCTCATGTGTACTGAATTTAGAAGCTCGTCATTCCTCCCCCCATCTAACTGATGTTCCTTGGCTTCTCAAATGATTAGTTTGAAGTCCCTTGTTCCTCACAGATACACCAAGGTGAAGAAAGTGGCCCCTTACTGAGAAAGTGTGCTCACAGAGAAATGTGGGAGATTGGACCATTCTGCTTTATTGCCACATGGCCTCCACGGTGAGCCATGGTGGCCCCAGCATGCCAAGCTCCTGGCATTTTGCAATCACAGCAGTCCCGGCATAAATGAACAGGAGCTTAGGCAAGTAATGAGATGCCTTTTTCTGGGATGTGGCTATGGATGCAGCTTGCCTGCACCTGTCAGGGAGGTGGGTGGGAGGCTGGTGTCCCAGTGTCCCAGCAAGTACACCCTGGTGTCTTAGTCAATTTTCTGCAGCTGTAACAGAAAACTAAGGACTGGGTAATTTATAAGCAACAAAAGTTTTATTTGGCTCTGGGACCTAGAGGCTGGGAAGTCCAGGAGCCTGATTCCAGTCTCTAGCAAGGGGCTGGGTGCTGCATTATCCCGTGACAGAAGGCAGAAGAGCAAATAAGTGTGTGTGACAGAGATAGAAAGGAGGCCAACCCATCCTTTCTATCAGGAACCCACCCCCATGATAACCCACCCTTGTAATGACAGCATTAATCCATTCATGAGGACAGAGCCCTCTGACCTAGTCACCTCTCGAAGGGCCCACCTTTTAATACCTTCACAATGGCCATTCAATGTCAACATGAGCTTTGGAGGAGGCCTTCAAACCATAGCACCTGGGGGCCAGGAACCCATATCTCAAAGCCGAACTTCTCTTGGGGTGGGTGCAGAGTCTAGAGACCTGCTTGAGGCCAGTCTTTACAGACAGTCCCACCTTCTCCCAGTTCCTCCAGGGCTGAGCAGGGAGCCCCAGCATCCCCACAGATGTGTTCTCATAGTTCTGCTTCTCCCATGGGACCACAATCTAGCTAAGAGCTAATTCCCGCTTCCCTGGCTCCCTTCCTAAGGTCTGTGAGGGATGCAAAACAGGAGGTGTTCACAGGTGCTTCTCTGCTGTTTGCCAAAGCTCCATCCACAAGGCAACAAAGAGTCTTTAAAATGATTTGTCCTAGGAGAGAAAAAGATGCCAATTTCTAGAATATTTCAGTTAGTAAGAAGTGGTCGTGGGGTGTCTTGGTAAGGTCTTAACTGTGTAAGAATAGGCTTTATGTCAACACCAACTGTGCTGTTGCCTCCAGGTGCTTCCATTTGTTCCACCTGCCCTCATCATTGACCACAAGTTCACATTTGAAGAGGCAGGACTTCTCCCTGTGCATCCACCTCCTACAATGCTCAGTCTAGCCCCTGGCCTCTGACATGGCCTCCCAGGTCTAGAAAGACATGCACTTAGAGAGTGCTTGAACGTGCACAGCCAGCAGACATCTGTACCAGACCATGCTCCCAGGCACCTAGCACACAATAGGTGCTTGATAAATGCTTGCAGAGTACAGGGCAATGCTGAAACAGTAGAGCACCATGCCACAGCAGTTGCTCTTTCTCTGGTCACTTTTATAACAAAGGCTCACCTTTTGGGTCATGCCCAAATTTAATAAGAGGCCATAAAGCACGGTGGGAAAAAGGTATGGGCTCTGGGTACTGATCACCCAAGTTTAAATCCTGGGTTTTCCACATTTTGCTGTGTAACATTGGACAAGCCACTTTTCTTTCTATGCCTCAGTGTGCCCATCTATAAAATGGGGATGATCCTAGTACTTTTCTGGTTTCAAGGATTAAATGAGACCTTGCCTAGAGCATATAACTCTAATAAGCTTCAGCTATTGTTCTTATTGTTATGTTTATTACTCTAAAATCCTCTGAAAGCCAAGCAACCTTCAGGGTAGAGAAATATAATTAAGAGGCTAGAATCTAACTCTTGAAAGTTTAAAATTGATGCCACATTAGCCTCGCCCGAGTGTCCTTAGACTCTTCTGCCACACAAGGAAGCCAACACTGATCCTGCAACAAAGAGAATCTTTTAAAAGCCATACAATGGGGAGAAAATAGCCATTGGCTCATAGGCTAAAGATCTTGTCCTCCCAAGGGCTCAGGATCACTCCTTTACAATGTGATAAAGGTCTAGAGGCCTCACATCTGTTCCATTCAGTCAAACTCTGAGGCCACCAAGCTACATCATCCTGAGGATGCTTGGAAGCCAGAGAAGACCTAGTAAGAAAATACAAGCTGAGCAAGTGGGCACATACTGTAATCCCAGCAACTCAGGAGGCTGAGGCAGGAAGGTTGAGAGTTTGAGGCCAGTCTTGACTTAGCAAAACCACATCTCAAAATAAAAATAAAAAGGAATGGGGATATAGCTCAGAGGCAAAGCTTCCCTGGAATCAGTCCTCAGTACCAAAGGGAAAAAGAAAGAAAGGTGTTTTTTTTAAAAATGGCAATGTATACAGTGACAGTGAAAAGAAGCTGGAATCAAACTGAAATAAACAAAAACTCAGTAAAGGAATGCCACAGTTCTCCAGAGCTGCCCAAACCAGGTGTGTTTATCTCAGGAAAAAAACTTGGAATGATCCACCCAAGCTAGCTATGGCACTGTCACAAGACGGAGCTGCTAAAAGGGACTCCAATGGGTAATCATATGCAAATGTTCATGCTCTGATTTGTTTAAAGCAGGATGCAAATTCAAATGGATATGCAAGTTTGCAAATATGCACAGAAAAACATCTAAAAGGAAAAGCACCAGATACTAATAATGGTTTCTTTTAGGAACTGACACAAACTCTAAGTGAATTGCTTTCCTTTTTTTTTTCCTTTCAAATGCTTTTTTCCCCCATTTTCTCTGTAATTAATAAGTAACACTCTTACCACGTGAAGGCAAGCTTTATATTTTCAAGTTAACTAGACACACTATATATAAAGGCAGGGAGAAACTAGGCAGTGCTAACCAAAATCAATAACAATTATCTTTACATTATGGTGTGTAATTAGGGAAACTTACACAGGTAGACAAGAAAGAGAGGATAGGTCTATTTTTTTTTGGCAGTTGCTATGATGGAGAGGCATCATGGATGAATTTTTTCATTCCATCAATAATACAGTGTTGGTCATATGATTTATATAAGGTAATAAGCTTAAAATCGGGAGAGCGGAGTAGGGAAAGTAGGTCTGAAGCCTTCCCTGTTCCAGCTTATCTGCTCTCTCCAGCCCTGGCCGGGAGTTGGGCTAATTTAAGAGAGCTCCTCTGGGCTCTGAGAAACCTGAATGCAAAGGTCATCTGCGAAAGGCTGAGACACTGGCAGCCTGACGTTTTCATTAGTGAAGTTTCTTCTGTAACTAACCCAGTAACTGAGTCCAAAGACAGGGCCAGTCTGCTCAAGAACATCCTTAATCCCCAGAAGAACTCCCCAGGAGAAATCCAAAGATTTGGGTGCTGAGTCAGAAAGGTGCCGCAGAGCCTCAAGACCTGAGAGGCCCCAGGACAAAGACAAATGGCAGAGGTCAGGGTCAGGGAAAAGCTGTCCAATGTGTCTCCTCCCTCAGTGCCCCTCAGGAAGACAGGGGCAGAAATCCCCACCTGCCCTGTCCACCAACACATCCCTCAACCCCACCCCACCCCCACTCGGGAGAACCAAGGAACTGCGAGACACAACTTTGGCTCCTGAGTCCTCTTCATCAGGAACTCCAGGATCCAGAGGGATCTGAAGAGGTCTGGAAGAAGGCCTGCCTGCCCATCTGGTCATGCCATCTCTATTCTCTTAATGTCGGAAGATGGCCCAGGACCTCACGTGGCACTGTTCTGGATCCCCGTGGCCCTGTAACGAGCAGAGCTGTTGCTTTGTGACTTTTCACACTTGAACATCATGGCATCCCATGGTCCCTCTCCGGTCTGGACCCTAGGATCCCTGGGAGGGCATGAAGAAGCAAGCTTGGAGAAAACGCCTCCATCAGAGGGCTCCAAGCTGCCTCCCGGAGGGGTCCCTAAGAACCCCTAGAACCCCCGGCTCTGCTGGGGCGATTGCGGAAGACATCCGCCCCTTCTCTTCTGTCCCCACCTGCCCGGGTCTCTGCTGCTATCCCCCACCCCCTGGGTAATGGGAAGCTGAGGCCCTTGAATCCATCCTTCCCTCTTTGAGCCAGGCTCAGACCACTCCAGGCAGCTGAGAGCCATTCCTGGAGACGACAGTTTGATTCTACCCTGGGTCCTCGGCGGCAGTGATGAACTCTCCCTGTTACTCCCCTGAACCCCTCGGGCTCTGGCCCACGTGCACACAGAAAGCAGCTCGACAGACGGTGAAGAACACTTTCAAAACCGACATTTCTGGTTGGACAGAAAGGATGCGGAGCCCAGCAGAGCCTTCTGACCCAGATAGCTCACTACCACTCCACCCCAAGTCGCCCAGAGCCAAGCAGGGGACTTCACTCCAGAGGATCCACAGGAGCCCTGGCCAGGAATGTACTAGCTCCTTCAGTCCTTTGAGGCCAGCACCATTCCATGCCAGCCGGAGCACTGATCTGAGGATTAGAGAGGAGGTCAGCCCCCTCACGCCTGCCTCCACCCTGCCCAGGACCAAGCCTCTAGCTGATGGCCAGAAGGAGAACTGTCAGTCACATCCAAGGAGACCCTGTCCCAGAAGGAAGGGGAAACCACAGGCATCTTCCTGGTAGTGGCAACTCTGCCTCAAGGCGTGGTCAGAACACAAAGCAGACTGCTCTGTTTTGGATATCGTTTGTCCCCTCAAAGGTTATGTTTTAGAAACTTGGCTCTCAGTGTGGAAAATGTTGGGAGGTTGCAGAACCTTTAAGAAGTAGGGCCCAGTGGACAATAGTTTGGTCACTAAGGGCATTGCCCCTCAGAAGTTAGATCCCATGAGAGTGGGTTGTCACAAAAAGAACAGGATTGGTTCTCCCCAGCCCCCATCTCTGTTTTCCTGTCTCACCATATAATCTCTTTTGTATGCACTCTTACGACTGTGATGCCATCCACCCGTCCTCCATGAGACCCTCACCAGAGCTGAGTAGAAGCTGATACCATCCTCTTGAACTTCCAGAACTGTGAGCTAAACAAACCTCTTGTCTTTATAAAAGCCTCAGCTATTTTGTTATAGCAACAGAAAATGAACTGATACACACAGGCCATCTCCAGGCTCCCCACTTTCCAGAGTGCCCAATCCAGGTAAGTAGAAAAAAGGACCCTGAGTAAAGGGGACCTGAGTCTTATCACCATAGGAGACCCCAGATTCGACTAACCAAAGCTCCAGACTCCGCTGTGCTCAAGGGGACTAACCCATGGGCAAACAGCTGACACTGAAACCCATGAGGGAGGAAGAGTTAAAACTCCTCTCCCATGATTCAGGTGTCACATTCTTCAAATAGCTAAAGTGCCTTCCGCTTGGTGCAGGTTATCCCAATAAATCCAGAGCCCGTGGTGATTTACCAAGAGCTAGGTTATTGGCAACGGCAATCTCACTTTCCCAGAGCAGTGCTGAGAACAAACCATAATTTAGAGCTGGATTTATATTGTTTGTTCTACAGCAACAAACTCAGCAAATCATAAATTCCTTCTGAGATGAAATGTGGAAATTGACAATATTTATGAACTCAAGAGATACAGGAGGGCTTCACTAGGCCTTTGATTTGTAACTGAAACTCCTCCTGGTGGTTCCAGTCAAGGACACAGCTGCTCTCCCAGCCCCAGGAGCTGGGCTCCAGCCAGGGCACGGAGAGCAGGAAGGGACAAATGGACCAGGCGTTTCCAGACTCCTGGTGGGCTGTTCAGTGAATGCCAAGGCGAAACATGGCCCTGTGCTGGTCAGGACGCACAGCAGCAAGGCCGACAATGGCGATTTTCAGATCAGAAGCTTCTTCGCACCGAGGGAGACTTGTTTGTGAAAACTCACTACTCTCTGGCTTGGACATAAGTCTACCGGGGTCCTACTTCCTCGGCACACCTGAAGCTTTAAATTTGCACTTCCATCTATATACTGGATACACCAGATACCACCTTCTAATAACCCATGAGAGGGGAAAAAGACTTGGACCAAAAATTCCACCCAAATTCCAATCCCCTCAACCTCCCTCTCTGCCCATCACCACACCCTCCCCAGCCGAGCCTTGTCCAGCACTCAGCCACCATGGTGCCATGTGGCCCTGGGGGAGTCATTTCCTTTGTGTGGCTACGAGGAGGCTAGACCAAGTCATCTCCACATCTCCTCCACCTCTAACCATCTGGCACCTGGGTGGATAGGACACGGAGAAGGCTCCAGCCAGAGCCTCAGTGCCTCTGGGATGCTGACACCCGGCCTGCAGAGCCTCTGGGGCGGCTCTTGGCCTGAGAACCAACCAGGGCCATTCACCACTACGATGATTCCCAAGCAAGAATGTGCAAGTGGTGACTCGGCAGTCACAGCCCCACAGCCCGAGCGTGACGCTCACCCAGGCTCTCCATCATTGCATCCAGCACAGCAGCCGCAGCGGTGCAGATCCCCGAGTTCTTTGAGTTGAGATTGTCTGCAGTCGCCGTGATGAGGGAGAGCAGCATGGGGTGCACGCTGTGTTTGAGGAGGGGGATCATCTTGGCAAGGGACTCCAGGGCCCACTGGTTCACTTTCTTGTTGGAATCCTGAAGCCT